TTTTTTTTTTTTTTGTTTGTTTGTTTGGTTTTTTTTAATTTGTTTTATTTTGTGTTGGTTTGGTTTGGTTATTTTTGTTGGTTTTTTTTTGGTGAGAGTTTGTTTGCCTGATTGATTCTTTTGTAATCAGAGGAATGTTTTTTTCTCCCCTCTGGAGGAGAACTGTTGGCAGCTGTGGAAGTTTTGCTGCCTTGAGTGCTGCCATGGCTTGGGCAGTTTTGTCAGGGCAGAGCTGTGCTGAGTCCAGCTCTGGTGCAGGAATTCTTCACCCAGAGCCCGAGCCTGGCTCCAGTCTTGTCTCCATCAGGCACCCCTCAACTCCTTCCTCATTCCTCCTTTCCCCGCAGGGAGAAACTCTGGTTAGCCCCAGGCAGAGTGGCACACAGCAGTGCTCCTGATGTCCCTTAACTCTCCCCTTGGCTGTCACTCATGCCTTCATACCTGTGCCAGGTACCTGAAGCTTCCCCTTCTTTTTTTTCTCAACCTTTCCTTGAAAGTGCCAAAGGTGTTTTTGTGCAAATAAAGCCTTGCCAAGTCACTTGTGTGCACCTGAATGCTGAAAAGGCACCTTGGAATGAAATTACTTGATTTGTTTTATGTCAAGACACAGATTGTTCATATTTCCTTCTATGAGCCCAGTGGTTTTCAGAATAGACATAAACAACGAAATTGTCCAGCAGAACTTGAGACACAAGTGTGTTCCTGGTGTCCAACAGATGGGATAATGATGGTGATGAGGGTAGTTGATGTAAATATGTGCTAAAGTGCTTAAATATTTACTGTTTTCCCTTCAGGAAAATAATGGTATGTATGTAGAAGGGTATTTTTTACCTGTTCTGTGCTGCAGAGATGTGCAAGCTGAACTGTTTGGCATTGAATGGCAGTGCTAAAATTATATTGTCTCTGTGTAATTATATATACAGGCCCACTCACATACATCATTTACTGGAGAAAGTAATAGTGCATCACAGACACCATCTCATTTTCTTGTAGTAAATTAGCTTTTTAAATGACCAACATTTATTTTGAAAAGAGAATTCAAAGATGACTTTGAGATTCTTTCTAGAGGCATGTTATGATATTTTCCTTGCACTTTACTTGCTCTAGAGCTGACTATTTCTGGATAAATGAAGTGAGATCTGATGCTGGAATGCAATATGCCTGTTTGAGGGTCTGACAGATGCAGGTGATTTCAAAACAAATGCCTTCTGTGATTTAGCTTGAGCTGCCATTGGGTCCAGACCTACTGTGGTTGCCCTCTAAGTTAGTTTAAATGTAGGCATTTTTGTTCTAACTGTGTGTTTCTGGCGTGCCTGTCACCATGGGAACTGCACACCTCCGAGTTTAAATTCTGTGACATGAGATCACTGCAAGTCTTGCTTTAAAGAGGTCTGAGTTGCTGCTCTTCAGAAGTAGGGAGGACTCTGATATTGTCTCTCTCTTTAATTTGAATCCCCACACAATGGGATTAAATCCAGTGCTTGTCTGCACTTGTGTCTTTATTCTAATTTTATATGTAACAGCTTTATGAAACGCAAATAACTTCTTACATAATATGCAGTGCTGAACAGTGTGATTTATCTTTAAATATGCTTTTTAAAATAGACTATTCCACTCTATAAACAGAGCACATTTGTGTGTAATCTTGCTGCACTTTTCACTGTGCTGTAGGTTATTTTCAACTGCACCGTATTGTTGTAAAAGTTTTTATCTTTTACTGCTATGGAGAATCCTATGGACCTGATTAAATGGTTTTTTCTTTCCTATTCATGGCGTTCACATTTAAGTGATACGCTTTGTTGAAACACCACAGGTTATAGGATTGTCCTTTTACTCATTTATTAATCCTCATTTGGGCTCTGGAGCTGTTTTATTTCTGAAACTTAGTGGTTCTGAGCCTGAACTTCCTTTAGTTAAAGCCTATTAAATGTGAATGCTGCTTCTGATTTGGCCTCATTTCTATGGTGATTGTCTGTAATCCTGCAGTTCTGGTGATCTTTTGCATGAAGAGTGCTTTGTATACGTGTAGTGGTGTTTAACAAATTAATGCAATGCACAAGTGAATACTTTCTCCTGATGGAATGCCATTTTTTTTGTGCTCATGTTACCCAAAAGGAAGCCAAATGTACGAGTGCTGGAGTTTGGCTGTTGGAGCCCAGGCAGGAATTTCTGTTCCCTGTGCACAGGTGTGGAGGTGGACGAGGGATGGGGGAGTTCTGGGCAGTGAGGAGGGATCCAGAAAAGTTCAGTCAGAATTGCTCCTGTATGAATTTCTGACCCAAACCCAGATGTTTTTATGACCCTCACTGGTCCTGCTGCCTGGGTTTCTGAAGGCTGCATTTAAGGCACCTGTGGAAAATAAAGGTGTGTGTTTAGGTAGAGTATTTTCTGACCTGTTTTCATCTGAGCTGGAAGAAGTCTGTTTCCAGCCTGGCTGTAAGCTGGTACACAAGCTGTGCAAAGCAGGGTTATAAATCACTGTTCCTGTAGGAAATGGGAGCTAGGGTAGATACCTGGTGGCTATCCCCTCCCCACTAGCTGAATCTGTAAATGCTACATTCTGAGAGTAGGAAAAACCTCCCTGAAAGCTCTGTGGAGCACACCTGGGCAATGTCCTTCACACGGGACATGCCAGTGGGAATATGACAGTTTTTGGGTGAATAGCATTTTCTGGTGAAAACAAAAGGTGGCTGCGATGCAGTTCTGGGTGAGGCTTCTTGAGAGAGGGGCAAACGTGTTTTGGGAGTGTGATGGATGAGAAGGGTCCCTGTTCTTCTGGGAAGGTGGGGAATGAGCTGGAACCAGTGCACAGTCTGCATTCTTCAGACGAGGTTGGGCTGGTTCCAGGCTTGGGTCCCCATGCTGGCTTATGAGGAAAATCTTAGGCTAAAAAATGTGAGAGAGAACTACAGGTACCCCACTGTAGTTCTGTTATTGTACTTGGCTGTAGGAGCTCTTTAGGGAACTGTATTTTGTTGTCTTGGATGTGGAAGTTTAAGAACAATAACTTAGCAATAAGTACGTGAAAGCTATTACCTTGAAACACAGGGGAGTATTTTCAGGGTAGTTTTAACTTCAATCTGTGTCTCAAGACTAAAGCTTAAAACACATCTTTCTTGGGCTGGCAGCACATTGGGCTGAGTATAGAAAGTCTTCTTGATGTTTTTTGTGTTTTGTATTTTTTTCTCTTTTTTTTTGGTGGTTTTGGGTTTTGTTTATTTTTAAAATTTTATATGTCTTTTTCATGTAAGAGTCTCTGAACCTTCTTTTTCCTTTGTTCTAATTTGCAGCATTACTTTACTGTTCTCTTTGGCCATGAGGGGCAGAAGCCACTGGAGCTGCGTTGTGAAGATGAGGTTGATGGAGATGAGTGGGTAGAAGCTATTCACCAAGCAAGGTATGAAACTCAATTTGTGACCCCCTGATCCATTTTGTTATACATAAATGGATAATACTTTGAAAATCTAAACCCCCCTTCCAAACAGAAATAAATGTTAACATGTATTAGTTGTGTGTTGTTTGCAATTCATGAGTATGTTATAGGAAAAAACACCTGTAACATTCAATGTTTATTTCACTGTCTTTTATCTTTCGTAAGCAATTGTGTTGCAATTGAAATTAGTTCAGGAAGAATGTTGTTTTATTATAAACAAGCCCTAGGATTAGTCCTCTGTTAGAGACAAACGTGTCATGTGAATGAGGAAATTAATGATATGACAGATGAATAAATGAGATTTTCCTTAAAAACTGTTACAGAGAAATAAGGGTAAGAGAGAAGATGTCAAGCCATCTAAGATGATGAAGTATGACAGATAAAATTGTGGCTTCAAAACCGAAATTCTGAACCACGTTTTTGTGGAAAGGGCCATGGTAGGACCTTGAGCCAAGCATTAGTCTGTGCCTGAGGAGAGGTCTGTGTGGCAAGGGGCCACGGTTTAGGTGTGATCTAAGTGAAAGTCATCTCACTGAGGGCCTGAGGAGCGGGGTGTGGAGGCAAAGCCGCTGCTGAAATGCACTTTGTGCAGCCTCCTCCCATTCACACTCACCCCAGCAGTGCCATGGTAACGCACAAGGAGCCAGGCAGCTCCTGAATTGCTTAGGACACGAGCCATGCAAACAGAAGCGATTCTGCTTCAGAACTAAAATTGAACACGGGCAGCCTGTAGTTTTTAATTTAGAGCTGGTGAGACGAGGCCCTGGGCCTGCAGGCCTGGTCAGTTTCGGGCCTGTGGCGTCCCCTTGGTGCTGCTGCCCTGGAGCAGGCCCGGCCTGGGCCAGGACAAAAAAAATGATCAAACATTACCAGCCTGATACCCTTGCTGCCTGGAGAGGCTCCGTGGAACAGAGGCCAGACAGAATTATTAAGAAATTATTAAAGGAATAAAGTAGATACTAATTTAAAGGCCTTCGAAGGATACACCTAGGGCAGTACAAGAGCCTGGCCCAAGATGGAGCCTGGGTCAGGAGTTTCACACTTGGATCAGTTTGGGTCCATTCCCACCTTGGGGTTCATTGTCCAATCCCAGCTCCAGGCTCTGCAGT